CCCGCGCTCCCATTTCACAGACAAGGAAGCAATTTCTCAGACTCCCTCTGAACTGTAGACTTGGTGGTCAGATGGGTGAGCTGGGTTTGAAACTTGGCTTTGCCACTTACTAAACTTATAATCCATGGCCCAGCTCCGTCATCTCCTCTGGTTCTCTTTCTCATGGTATACAAAGTGGGAGAAGCTGCAGTGTCTGTCCAGGGGAGTCTGTTGGAAGGGGGCAAAGCCATGGTATGATTTTGGCCCACAGGCATTCAGTAAATGGGGTTTCCTTCCGCCTTTTCTTGCCCAGAGTACCCAGCCGAATCAGCGAGGCCCTCTCGCTAGAGCTGGGGAGACCAGGGTCCAGGGAGTTAGAGGCTCTGAGCTCTGAGGCCCGGCCCCCATGCCTGATGCCATCCCCTCTCTGCCAGGTCCTGGGGACTCAGAGAAGGTGCAGCAACTGGAGGAGCAGGTGCAGAGCCTGACAAAGGAGCTGCAGGGCCTTCGAGGCGTCCTGCAGGGACTGAGCGGGCGCCTGGCAGAAGATGTCCAGAGGGCCGTGGAGACGGCCTTCAACGGGAGGCAGCAGCCTGCAGATGCGGCGGCCCGCCCTGGCGTGCACGAGACCCTCAGTGAGATCCAGCAGCAGCTGCAGCTCCTGGACAACCGCGTCTCCACCCATGACCAGGAGCTGGGCCATCTCAACAACCATCACGCCGGAGGAGGAGGAGGAGGTGGCGGCAGGGCCCTGGACCCCACCCCGGCCCCTCCTGGCCACAGCGAGGAGCCGCTGCAGGAGCTGGAGCGACGGCTGCAGGAGTCCTGCTCCGTGTGCCTGGCGGGGCTCGATGGCTTCCGTCGGCAGCAGCAGGAGGACAGGGAGCGGCTGCGGGCCCTGGAGAAGCTACTGGCCTCCGTTGAAGAGCGGCAGCGGCAGCTCCCTGGGCACGGGATCCGCAGGCCCCTTCAGGAGTGCTGCCCTCCTGAGCTGGGCCGGCGGCTGGCAGAGCTGGAGCGGAGGCTGGATGTAGTGGCCGGCTCGGTGACGGTGCTGAGTGGGCGGCGAGGCTCCGAGCTGGGAGGAGCGGCCGGGCAGGGGGGCCACCCCCCAGGCTACACCAGCCTAGCGTCCCGCCTTTCTCGCCTGGAGGACCAATTCAACTCCACTTTGGGTCCCTCAGAGGACCAGGAGGCGGGCTGGCCTGGGCGTCCTGGGGGCCTGAGCCACTGGCTGCCTGCCGCCCGGGTTCGACTGGAAAAGCTGGAGGGACAGTTGGCCAACGTGAGCGGGGTGCTGGGTGGGCGGTTGGATCTGCTGGAAGAGCAGGTGGCAGGGGCTGTGCAGGCGTGCGGCCAGCTCTGCCCCGGGGCCCCTGGGGAGCAGGACTCCCAGGTCAGCGAGATCCTCAGTGCCTTGGAGCGCAGGGTGCTAGACAGCGAGGGGCAGCTGCGTCTGGTGGGCTCTGACCTGCACAAGGTGGGAGCGGCCGGGGAGGCCCAACAGGCTGCCCTGGAGGAACTCCAAGGGGTCGTGAGCCAGCTCCAGGGGCGCGTGGACGCACAGGATGAGACGATGGCAGAGTTGGTCCTGCAGCTGAATCTCACGGCCTCACGGCTGGGTCAGCTGGAGGGACTGCTGCAGGCCCGTGGGGATGAGGGCTGTGGGGCCTGCGGCGGCGTCCAAGAGGAGCTGGGCCGCCTTCGGGATGGTGTGGAACGCTGCTCATGTCCCCTGTTGCCCCCACGGGGCCCTGGGGCTGGCCCAGGTGTTGGGGGACCTAGCCGAGGGCCTCTGGATGGCTTCAGTGTGTTTGGGGGGAGCTCAGGCTCAGCACTCCAGGCCCTGCAAGGAGAGCTCTCTGAGGTCATTCTCACCTTCAGCTCTCTCAACGACTCACTGCATGAGCTCCAGACCACCGTGGAGGGCCAGGGTGCTGATCTGGCTGACCTAGGAGCCACCAAGGACCGCATCATCTCAGAGATTAACAGGCTGCAGCAGGAGGCCACGGAACATGCTACGGAGAGTGAGGAGCGCTTCCGAGGCCTGGAAGAGGGACAGGCACAGGCTGGCCAGTGCCCCAGCCTAGAGGGGCGATTGGGCCGCCTTGAGGGAGTCTGTGAGCGACTGGACACGGTGGCCGGGGGACTGCAGGGCCTGCGCGAGGGCCTTTCCAGACACGTGGCTGGGCTCTGGGCTGGGCTACGGGAAACCAACAGCACCAGCCAGACACAGGCAGCATTGCTAGAGAAGCTGCTAGGGGGACAGGCGAGCCTGGGCAGGCGGCTTGGAGCCCTTAACAGCTCTGTGCTGCTCCTGGAGGACCAGCTTCACCAGCTCAGTCTGAAGGACCTCACTGGTGAGGGGACAAAAGGAAGCATGTGGTGGGAGTTGGGGGGGAGCCCCTTTTAAGTCCTTTCTTTTTCCTTCCTTCCTCCACAATAGCCCCTCATAACCTCATATACTTTCTCCCTACTCTGCCCAGCATAATTACAGACCCACCACTGTCCTGGGGGATGGTTTGTCCACAAGAGATAAGCTCCCCACTCTCCCCTGGCAGCTCAGACAGGCCGGTGGGTCGGGGCAGGGCACAGCCAGGTAGCCAGCATGAGCGGCAGGGGGCCTCACCAACCTGCCCATGGAGCCATGACCTTCCTTGTCCTTTGGAAACTCCTTTTATGGCTTTCCTTCAATTTAATTTTGTCGCCATAGGGCCTGCGGGTGAGGCAGGGCCCCCTGGGCCTCCTGGGATACAGGGACCACCAGGCCCTGCTGGACCGCCAGGACCTCCAGGCAAGGATGGACAAACAGGGCCCATCGGGCCACCAGGTATGTGAGCTGAGATCCCTACCACAGCTAGGCTTCCCCACACCTCTAGCAGCCTAGGCTTGACATTCATTCCACTCTGAACTTGACAGAGAAAGGAGGAAAGGGGCAAGGAGTTGGGGGGTGTGTGTGTCTTACATGGCTGGCAGTGACTAGGAGCTGGGACACTCACTGTGTGGATTAGTTGGATATGGTGGGCTGAGCGCTGTGTTGAAGACTAAGGCTGAGCTATGAAGACGGGGCTATGGAGGGTGAGAGAGGCTGGGGCCTGGTTGAACAAATGGACTGTATTTCTCCTTGTCTTGATACCCCCCATTCCTGCTGTGGAGTCTGTGTGACACCTACCACAGTGAGAGAGACTCAGCAGATGTTTGCTGAGTAACTTAGAGCTCCCCCACTTCTCACTGCTCCCTCTCCTCCTCCCACAGGTCCCCAGGGAGAGCAGGGTAAGTTCGTCTCATTTGGTGCTGGAGGGAGGGAAACAGAACTGGAGGTTGGAGGATGCAAGGCCTCAGGCAGCCGTGGAGGTAGAGACCCCGGAGGGAAGGGGGCAGGAAGCTCTGCACTGAGCATCCACTCTGACCCCCACCTTACCCCTACCCAGGAGTGGAGGGGGCACCGGCAGCCCCTGTCCCCCGGGTGGCCTTTTCAGCTGCCCTGAGTTTGCCACGGTCTGAACCAGGCACAGTGCCCTTCGACAGAGTCCTGCTCAACGATGGGGGCTACTACGATCCAGAGACTGGTAAGCCTGGAGGCAGGCTGGCTGGGCAATGGGCAGGCCGGGGAGGTGGTGCAGTGATATGTTCTCATCCTTGCCTCCTTGGGCAAGGGGGATATTTTCATGCTCTGGTTTGGGGAGACCTCTATTTACTTCATTTATTCATTCTCACCACAGCTTGGTTGAAGGGTTGGGGGAAGGAGCGCTTATTTTGCCGGGGGTGGGGGGGTGCTGGGGCTGCTGTAATGAACAAAACACCAAATTCCCTGGCCTGGTGGAACTTACATTCTAGTGCATGTCGCATGACAAGACCCAGCAGGTGTCTCCCTAGTCCAGGAGTTCCGGGTGGGCTCCCCAACACCTCCTTGGCCCCTGCCACCCGTCTCGCCTCCTGACTACCACCCTTGTCCCCAGGCGTGTTCACAGCACCTCTGGCCGGCCGCTACTTGCTGAGTGCGGTACTGACCGGGCACCGGCACGAGAAAGTGGAGGCTGTGCTGTCCCGTTCCAACCTGGGCGTGGCCCGCATAGACTCTGGTGGCTATGAGCCTGAGGGCCTGGAGAATAAGCCGGTAGCCGAAAGCCAGCCCAGCCCTGGCGCCCTGGGCGTCTTCGGCCTCATCCTGCCCCTGCAGGCTGGAGACACAGTCTGCATCGACCTGGTCATGGGGCAGCTGGCACACTCAGAGGAGCCGCTCACCATCTTCAGTGGAGCCCTGCTCTACGGGGACCTGGAGCTAGGACACGCGTAGACAGAGGGCTGAAGTGTCTACGCGGGCCAAAGAGCCAGCGGGGGTGACGGGGCTCCCCGGGCTCCCCGCCCGAGATGGGGCTCCGTTCTGGCCCCAGCCCTAGGCGAGCCGCCCTCCCCGCACCCTCTGTGGCACAGGCGCCCAGAGCACTCCTCTCCATGGCCTGAGCGCGCCGGGTCGGGGACTCGGGGGTCCTCTCGTCCAGACTTTTGTCTGCTCACGGTCCGCGGCAGGGCCCAGACTGCGGAGGAGCCAATCAATCCTCGCACCCTCGGAGCTCCTCCAGCTGGTCTCCGGGCCGATGCAGGGCTCTCCCGAAGGGCTCCGGCCCCACCGCCATACTAAACTATTCAGGAATAAAGACACTTGGTTTTTCTAAAAAACAAAACAAAACAAAACAACCTGTCTGCTCCAGTATGTGTTCAAGGGTAGAGAGAAGTACAGAGGCGACGGGGTGAGGGGGGAATCTCTGGGTTCCCTGTCGTGGTCGCCCCATCTCCCCGCTCGGTGGCTCCGCGAGCACTTGCTGTGCACCCGCCCGCGCAGAGAGGCGCGGTCCGCGGCCCTCCTCCGCCGAATGCCGGTTCCGCAGGCGTCCGCCAGGGGGACCTCGGAGCCGACTCCCGTCACGTGACCGCCGCCCCTCACCCAGCGGCGCCCGCGGCTCCGCGACGGAGGCGGGGCCTCGAGCTGGGACGGGCGGGGCCTCGGGGGCGGGGCGCAGACGGCGCGAGCGACGGCTGGGGCTGAAAGGGTCGGGGCGCGGCTGCGAGGCCCAGCTCAGGTCTGTGGGTCTAGGGCCTGGAGTGCGAGGCACCCGTGCAGGAGAGGGAGGGGCAGAGGGTGCCTTAGTACTGCCCTTTTTTTGCATTCAGAAGATGGCCTAGCTGCGCGTTAGAGAGGTTTGCATTAGCTCCGAGCCTGTCTGACAAGTGAGGAAACTGAGGCCGAGAAGTGGGAGGCCTTGCCATCTGCTGGGCCACGCCACCTGCTAAGGGGAAGCCGGGGACCAAGACCTCGGGGTCTGCGCTCCCTGGCCCGCTTGAATCCGTGGGCGTGAGGAGCAAAGGCCCTGCTCTTTCTTTCCCTGTGGGAGGCTGCAGCAGGCTCCCTGGGGGAGGAGCTCGGGACGCAGAGGAGGAGCCAAGGCAACCCCAGGAGCCGGGACGCAATCCTTTGGGATTAGAGGCAGAGCCCAGGAGGAACCCCGTCAGCCAGGCGGGCAGAAAGCACCCGGCGCAGCCTCATGGAAGACAAGCAGATCCTGTGCGTGGGGCTGGTGGTGCTGGACGTCATCAATGTAGTGGACAAGTACCCGGAGGAGGACACGGACAGCAGGTAGGGGCGCCCGGGCCCCTCGGAGACTCCTGGGGCCTCTGCAGCCCCGCGTTTGAGCCCTGCAGCCAAGACCCCAACCCCAGGTCTGCGGGGCTGAGGCCAGCCTCGGGAGCTGGTATCCCGTGCCCTCCACCTCAGAGGACCTGGGGAAAGAATTGACGCCGTTAATAGTAAGACCCAGGCTTTGGAAAGCACTGTGCTGGCCAGTTCCCGTCTCAGGAATCATTATCCCCGTTTAGAAGCTCTTTTGAGATGAAGTGATTTATCCAAGGGCATGTAACTAATAGGGCAGGACCAGCTTCTTTCTTTTTAACCAAAAGACCAACGCACTTGTCTCTCACCAGTGGTCACTTCTAATTTATCTACTACGTATATCTCATCTGTTTCTTAAATAAATTTTGAGGTAGCTTACAATGTTAAGTATGCACAGATAGAGTGCAAGGACACCTCAAACCATGGTGTTGAACTTCACTCTAGCTTCAGGGCTTGCTGGCACTAGAGGCAAATTTAGAACTTCTGTGGGTTATGGATAGAGCAAGTTCATGTGCCATGACCAACGTTTCCCTGGTGCTAAATTCCAAGGGTTTACCAGAAGTCCTTTTTACAAAATCAATGAACAACATCTTTTTTGGTTGTCTGGTAGAAGTCAAAGAGTCACTCATTGGCCCTTGTATTTACTCTTAATAAGAACCTCACCATTACACTGTAATCCCAGAAGGGCATTTCTCTGGGGCGGAATCCGGGTTTTTCCCTTGGTGCTGTCTAGTGCTTAGAATCCTGACAATTGCTGCTTGGCTCTCAGCTTTCTCAGCCAAGAACTGGGTAAAAGGCTAGTTCAAGGTTGAACTCAGGGTTCATAGCCATATCCAATTCTCTAGCGCTCATAGCCATATCCAATTCTCCCTCTTCTAATTGAGGAGAGAGACCCCGGTAGTCTGCAAGCTCTGGGTCCACCCAGCACAGTCCCATACTTTCCCTACAGCAGCCCATGGGAAATGTGTAAGGATCAGTCAAATCGTCTTCTTACAGATGAGGAAGCAGCTACCTCTGTGGAGAAATTAAATAATTATTGTAAGGCCACTTAGTTAATGAGTGGCAGAGCAGTAATTACAATTCATAGGGATCTAGTGCTCCAGCCGTCTGTCATCTCCTGAGCTCCCTCTCCCTTTGCTGCTGCCCATCTCATGGAATTGACCCTTGCTTTGGGCTGCTCTGTTTGCCAGAGGTTAGACCCCTTGCCAGGGGGGCAGGGGCAGTGGGGGAGGGGTACAGGGGTAGGCTGCTTTGCAGCCCTAGGTAGGTCAAGCCAGCCTGCCGCAGGATGCAGGCACAGTGAGGAGTTCAGCCTCCTCTCAAGAGAACAGTGTGGGTTCCAAGGCCGCAGGTCCTCCCAAGGACTGTTGGGCCCCAGGAAGACCCGGCGTGGAGTGCCACTTTCAACGACAGCTGCAGTCCCATTCCCTTTGAGCTTACTTACCTGGAGAGGCTAGGATAAAGAGATCCTGCTAGCTCCCACCAGGGTGGGCTCATTCTGAAGGTGGGCACTGGGGCATCTCTAAAGAGACCTCCCACCATATTCTCCATGCCCCCTGCTCTCAGGGTGTACCTCCCCCTCCCCCAGACACATGGCTCTTCTCTGCAGAATGGTGTGGTTGTCCTTAGGGCACCTCTCTCTCTCTTTCTCTCTCTCTCTCTCTCTCTCTTGCCCAGTCCACCTGGCCCACCTCCTGGACTCCTGTGCCTCCCAGAAGAGCAAGCCCAAGTGAGGACCCAGACGTGCCCAGGCATTTCAGCTCCACCTGTCCCAGGGTCCTGGGCTCCCCAGGATCTGGGGACTCTCAGGAGCCACCACCTGGAACTCAGCCAGACCTCTGAGTTATGACTCTTCCTCCCAGAGTCCAGGCTGAGAAGAGCTTTCCAGAAAGTGTCCTCATACTCAGCAGGGCATTTCTGCACAGGAAGTTGGGGATCAGTGTGATGCGGAAGGCTTTCCACAAAGTAAAATTGCAGCCCCTTTCTTTGAAACCTCATCCAAGCTGGGGGCTAACAACGTTCTATTCACAACTACACTACACAGTGAGTGGCTGTGGTTGTGGAGTCAGGCCACTGGATTCGGACGGCCGCTCCGTCCCTGACTATGATGTGATCCCGAGAGTCAGTCACATCCTGCGAAGCTCCCCTGTTCTAATCTGCGTGAAAATTTCTCTAAAGCTCGTAGCTCACGAACTGTTTGTCCCTTTACAAATTAGTATCCTTCCCAGTGAGGTCATGGACCCCTTTTCCCAAGATCGAAGGGAACTTCGGGATTAAGTCTTTGTGCCAGGATAACTTAGCCCAAAAATTCTGCTTCGTGAACTTCTCTTGATAAGTGGTTCTTATGGGAACTGGCCACAGGTGTTCTCTTTGGAAGGACAGAACTGGCAGCCAGGTGCCGTTGACCCCACAGGATTGTGGGTGCGCAGGGAGACACCATGATAGTGCTTCGATGTGCCAAAGTCATAGTTTTGTTGTTGGTAACCTCAACGCCCTGCGGGTGCAGCCTCCAAGCAGTGTCAGCATACACCTTGAGTTAGATTTTCGGTCAAGACAGAGAAAAACTAAAGGAAAAAAGGTGACCATGTGATGGGATGGCGTGTTAACAAACCTTACTGTGGTGATCATTTTGCAATATCCCCGTTTCAAATCACGCTGTGTATCTTACATTTACAGAATGTTATATGACAAGTATAGTTCAATAAAGCTGAAAGAAAGGAGAAACCAAAAAATGGAGAAAAACTGGTCTTCATCCAATCATCTCTTTAACTTTTGACATTCTTACATAAGTCAGCTTCCCCCTTCCCTCCCCACCCCCCACTTAAATGATCTCAATATCCAGTTTTGCTCCTGGTCTTACTTATTTTAACCTGAGTTTTCGAAGCGGGCTCCCCTGAGACGGGAGCAGGGAGCCGATCTGACGGCTGTGAGAGGAGGAACTTGGAGCTCTCCAGCAGTCGGCGCTGAATGTATGGCAGCTCTGTGCCGCCGGGAGAGGCCGGTCGTCTAAGGGAGAATGGGGTCACCCTACTGGAGCCCTCCCTCGTGATGGACCTGAGTGCGTGAAAATGAGAAGGCTGGGGAGATGCTTTCTGAGGGAGAGCTCCCAGCTCACGCATGTCATGGGCCCTACCCAGGGCACTGTGGCCGGCCTTGCTTCACCTGGTGCCAGCCTGCTGGAGCCGCAGGGACCCTCTGCGTGTTTTGCAGGTGCTTGTCGCAAAGATGGCAGCGCGGAGGGAACGCATCCAATTCCTGCACTGTCCTGTCCCTGCTCGGAGCCCCCTGTGCCTTCATGGGCTCGCTGGCCCCGGGCCACGTTGCCGAGTGAGTGGAGGAGGGAGCAGGAAGGCCTGCCCGCAGGGTGGGGGGCAAAGAAGGAAGTCTTGACCCAGGGGAGGGGGGGCTTGGGGTGGAGGGCAGGCTGTAAGAAATGGGGTGTGGGGTAACTCTGGATCCAGAGTGGGAGGGGCGGAGTAGAGTACCAGCATCCTAGACTGGCGTGGTTTATCTGCGGCTCAGGTGTTAATGCTCTCTGTTAAAGCTGTCGTTTCCACAGCCTGTTGCCTCCGCCCCTCTCCAGAGCCTGCTCAGCTTCCCACCTCTTCCTTCCTTGCTTCCAACAGACTCTGTGCTGGATTTGACTTTGCCCTTCTCCATCCCCCGTGGTCCTGGCTATGCTTGCGGCAGAAGGCAGTCAGGGGTGTGCCGTACCCATCCTCCCCCGGGATGTCCAGCCTCCCTGGTCCTAGGGTTCAGGCCCACAGTTCCTTTCCCCGTTGAGGGGGCAGGGCCAGTGCTCGTGTCCTTGTTCACTGAAGCCACAAGAGCACCCTGCCCGAGGACACCCTGAAGCCACGTGCTAACGCTGGGCCCAGACCCAGGCCTCAGCTCACTAGCCGGTTAGTGAGCTTCAGGCACACTTCAGGCTGACTTCAGGCACACTTTCTCTGTGTTGGCTGCTGCCGGGACCCAAGAGCCCTTTGACCCCTGGCACTGCCAGTTCAGCAAATGTTTATCAGGAGGTGAGGCCCACACTTTGCCCACTGTGGGCACTAGGGCAGGCTGCCAGCTTGCTGGCCTGTGGAGCTCAGCCCTTTGAACCCTGGTTTCGGGGGGGGCCACTGCCCAAGCCTAGCCCCCGAGCTGCAGCCAGATTCCCTTTCCCGGTGAACGGGCACGAAAGAGATCAGGAGACAAGGGCCTTTCCTGTGAGGTGGGACAGAAGGACCTGGAGCCAAGGGCTGGTCACTTGTTAACTTTCTTCAGTGGCTGTCTTCCTTCCCAGCAAGAGGCAAAACCTGAGTTTTGCATGGCTCTCACTCAGGGTAGTGGACTCCCCTTTATGGAACAATAATGCTGGGAGGTGGGCCACTCCGGATTCTCAAAACATTTTATGAGCCCCTACCATGTGCCAGGCACTGTGTGGGCAAAAAGGCATTTGGAAAACCAAACCGTAGTTGGTGTGCTTTGGGGAAGTTCCTATTTAAAGGATCTTTGAGGGGTGAAATGAGGAGTGACGCCCCGAGCTGATCCCAATTTGGTCTGTATTGTCCAGCTTCTGTGTTGCCGAAGTGGGGTCCGGCCATAGTGAGAAAGGTCAGGATGGTGGCTGGACTAGTGGTCCCAGGATACTATGTCCAGAGAGGGCCAGGAAACGTGGGCCTGGCCCCCTTGTTCTGTGGGTGCAGTCTCCTCGAGGGGCCACCTCCAGCTCCCGCTGATCGGAGGAGATCCTGGGGTAAGAGTCCCGGACCAGGGGCTCCACTGTGCGGAGCATTAGACCCTGGGAGCCAGCTCTCTGCCTGGAGGGCTCACCACGCAGCGAGAGGAGAGGGCTATGGGTGGGCTCCCCAAGGCAGCACTGCTTCCTGGCTGGGCATCACGGAGGCGGTTGTGGAATCACAGCATGGCAGGGGCCTTCAGAGAAGAGAACAGAAAGGATGAGTGTGTAGAGGGCAGCTGGGGGGCAAAGTACGACCTTTGTAATTATTAATTCTGCCTAGGCTTTGCATGAAACTGGCCATGGTGCCCTCGCCTGCTTTGTTCAAACAGGGCGCACATGCTCTAGGCCCCAGATCTACCCCATCCAGTTCCACGGACTTCAGCACATCCTTTCTGGCTTGAGTCAGACCAAAGGGACAGGTGCAGGGTTGGAGTTTACTTCAATCAGGCTCTAAAAGAACGTCCCTAGGTGTTTTTCTCACTGAGTTCCAGGCTATGCTCCCCTGCCTTTCCTGCCCCCTTGCACAGCCTGGGGTGGCATGGTGGTTTCCAGTTCCCTCCTGGCCCCCTCCGCTTGCCTCCAGGGTCCCCAGCAGTCCTGCCACTGACCCTCCAGTCCCCAAACCTTTGTCGAGCCGCACCTCCCCCCCACCCCGGGTTGCTCCATCCCGGCAGTTTTGTCCTGGATGACCTCCGCCGCTATTCTGTGGACCTCCGCTACACAGTCTCTCAGACCACGGGCTCTGTCCCCATCTCCACGGTCATCATCAGCGAGACCACTGGTAGCCGCACCATCCTGCATGCCTACAGGTTTGTATGCCAGTCTGCGCCTTGCCAGCCGCCGCTGTCACCATCACTAACTCTCAGAACAGGACCCTTCTTCTCTCAGAGGCCCACGTGCTCCAGCACCCCCTCCCCATCCCTGCAGGAGGTCCAGGCCACTTATAGGCTCTAATCGGTGTCTCCTTGCCCTTCCCCTGACTCGGGATCCACCCCAAGCTTCCTAGTGGCTGACTTCAGGCAGCGGGGCGTGGATGTGTCCCAGGTGGCCTGGCAGAGCAGAGGGGAAACCCCATGCTCTTGCTGCATCGTCAACAACTCCAATGGCTCCCGCACCATTGTGCTCTACGACACGTAAGGCCCCCTGGCCTCACCCTGGAACAACCCACCAATCAGTTCCCTCACTTGCCACCGGGGCATCCCGGCATGCCGCCTCTCTCTTTGTACCAGAAATCGTCCCCATGCCAACCTGTTCAGTGATTTCTCAATTGTTTTCAATTAGGGGAGAAGTGAGGTGGGAAGAGATGTGCTTTGCTCCAATGACTTGGCCTTGGTCAACACCAAGGATGGGCAGGCAAGCCTGTGCAAAACATAATTCATGGTGTGATTCCTCCATAATTGGTCAATCAGCAGCCCGGGAGTGGGTGTGGGGGAAATTGTTCTGAGGAGAGAGGGATGGATGGGAGATGGGATTCCACCCATCTTAAGCCCTGATGGGGACCCACTGGAATTTCCGGGCTCAGCCCCCAGAGTCGCCAGCCTGCAGCATGGCACCAAGGAGATGGGTTTGGGTGTTCAGAAGAGATGAGCCCACCACAAAGTTCCCTGCATAATGAAGCCAGGCCAAAAGCCACACACAATTCACGCCATCACTGAAGCAGAGGGAAGGGCATCATTGAGTTGGTAGACCAGGGCCATCAGATGCCATGTTAACTAGGGGGGAGGGATCCCCTTTAAAGTCCCAAGCTACCAGGGAGAGGCCCTGTGGACCCAGATCCTTCTCATCTGTCCCAGATTCTCTCCTGAAGAATCCCACACGTTTAGTTTCCTAAGAACCTAGTGTGTGCCAGATACTATGTTAGGGCTAAGATGGTCCACACCCAGCAGTCCTGGGGTTCAGGGTGTCCCTACATGCCTAACATGACTCCTGGATCTGGGGGAGAGGGGGTAACTATATTAGAACAAGCTTTATGGCCAGTGGTCTCTGGGCTCCCTGTGTCCCAGTGTATAAGTGAGTGGGCATATGTGCTGGCAATGACCTTCTCCTTGGCAGTCCTAGTCATCTGCCCATTAAGCAACAATCTGCAATTTTGATCAAGGACACCACGTGGGTATTCACAGGAAGAGGAGAGGAGCTCAGAGGGGAAACATTTGTTGCCCACTGGCCTCGGTGCAGGGATATCCACACACATTACCTCCAGCTGCAGCAGGCTGGAGGGTTTGGACCACTTACCAACGGGCAAGCAGCCTCTGGAAGGCCCAGGTACACATCTAGTTAATTAGATGGATTCAGCTGCAGAATGTAGAGGGGAGGGCATAGTTTGGGGTAGGTCTCTGGTCAAGGCTGACCCTTCCCGGATCTCCAAACCTAAGTCAGCCAAACCTAGACTCGTCCTCAAGCACCAGCCTTGACCTCAGGGTTGCCAAACCTAGAACCCTGGTGCTACCACTGCTGGGAACTTAACTGTGCCACTAGCAAGGGGGAATTCTGGGAATTGTAATCCCTGGTGCTCTTAGAGTATTCTGGGAGATGTGGTCTCCAAAGCTCACTCAACTGAATCTTGACCCATGCGGCATTAGCGTTCACAACTTAGTTAATACCCAAAGGGCACCCCAGCAAACTGCCTCCAGCCCCCTGTCTGGATGGAGCTGAGTAGGGCAAGGAGTGGTCAGGAGGTTAGCCTGGAAAGGGCCTGTCCCAGAGTTGAGCCTCAGAAGCCTTTGTGGGAGATCCGGCTTCCGGCCATGCTGCAGGCGGCACCAGGCATGGGGGCCCTGGCGGCCAGTTAGAGATCCCGGCCTTGGCCGACCTCACCATGCCTTTTCTCTCTCCTTCCTGTCCTGTGACTTAGGAACCTGCCAGATGTGTCTGCTACAGACTTTGAAAAGGTTGACCTGACCCGGTTCAAGTGGATCCACATTGAGGCAAGTCCTGCCCTACCTGTGTTTTGAGGGACTCAACCCGCCAGCCCTCCACGTATTCCACCTTCTTCTTAGTTTTTTTGACCCATGAAGTACCCTCAAGATCAATGACTCCGAGCCCCCTCATCCCCTCTCCATCTTGCTCTGTGTTGTAAGGCCCAGAAAGCACCGTACTCGGGTTCACACAGCAGAATGTAGGCACCAGAAGCAGGAAACTGGCTCCAGGCCTAGATCCGTGCTTTTCTGCCTTAGGGGCTGCCCACCTCCTCCACACTGGGAGAAATCCTGAGTTTGAGTCCTAGCCTTGTCATTTAATTCACCATGCGTCTTTAGAAAGGTCTTTTATTCCTTTATCTCCTCCTCGGTGAAATCAGGGGACTGGTCAATATGGTCTCCAAGGTCACTGACTGCTCTAGAATTTTGAAACTTAGGATGCAGCTCCTGCCCAGCTTCCGGGCGCCCCTATCCCGCCTGACCCAGAGTCCAAGCAGGGAGTGAGGGAGGAGCCAGAGGCCTGGCCCCGCCCAGTTTGTCCTGAGCCAACCCGCCCCGCCCCGCCCCAGGGCCGGAACGCGTCGGAGCAGGTGAAGATGCTGCGGCGGATAGAGCAGCACAACGCCTCGCAGCCTCCGGCCCAGAAGATCCGCGTGTCTGTGGAGGTGGAGAAGCCCCGGGAGGAGCTGTTCCAACTGTTTGGCTATGGAGACGTGGTGAGTGGCCCACGCAGCTTCCCCTTGCACATCCAGCTCATATGGGTGGTTTTTTATATATTTTTAAGATTTTTTTTAAAAAGTGTTTACATGAGAGAGCGCACAGAGGGAGAGAGAGAAGCCGACTCCCCGCTGAGCAGCGAGTCTGGCCTAGGGCTGGACCCCAAGACCCTGGGATCATGACCTGAGCTGAAGGCAGACGCTCAACCACCTGAGCCGCCCAGGTGCCTCTCATTTAGGTCTTAAAGGAACCAGCAGTTCCTTTGATTACTGGGAATGCCCACCACACCCGGAATGGCTTGGTGTCATTGGCAGGTGGAGGTCAAAGAGGCAGGCCCCCAGCTTTGGACTCCTTTGCAGGCCTCAGTGGTGGCCAGGGAGCAAAATTTCTGCATCCCAGTGGGTGTGAGAGTAGCCAGAGGGCTACTAGCTAGCCACGGAGCACCCCGCATGGGAGCATCTCCTCTCCGGGCCTCTTCAACCCTTTCCTCTGTCAAATGAGGGACTAGGACAGTTCTCCGGGGTGTCCTCCAACTCTGGGGTGGGTGGCAGGCTGTGGGGGCCACTCAGGGTTGAGGGAGGATGGGGAGGGGACTTGCATAAGGTAAATTTGGGTAATGCTGGGATGGAAGTGAATTCTGCGGGACAATCCTTGCATCATCGCCCAAGCTGGTTGGGCCTCCCCCGTGGCTTGGATGCCTGAGCCACACCCCGGGTTTTTAGCTGAGTGGTAGGGGTGCAGCTCGGCTGAAGTATCTTTCAGCAAAACTCACTCTGACGATTCTAACGTGTAGCTGGTGTGGAGGGAGCTCTACAGCCCCTGCCCCTTTATTTTAGACCGGGAGGGAATAGTTTTTTGTTTGTTTGTTTGTTTGTTTTTAAAGATTTATTTATTTATTTGACACACATACACAGAGAGAGAGGCAGGCAGAGAAAGGGGGAAGCAGATTGACCTGAGCCGAAGGCAGAGGCTTAACCCACTGAGCCACCCAGGCGCCTGGGGAATAGTTGTTTTTTTTTTGTTTTTAGATTTTTAAAAATTTATTTATTTGATAGAGACCACGAGTAGTCAGGCAGAGAGAGAGGAGGAAGCAGGTTCCCCGCTGAGGGGCTCGATCCGAAGACCCTGAGACCATGACCTGAGCCGAAGGCAGAGGCTTTAACCCACTGAGCCACCCAGGCGCCCCCTGGGGAATAGTTTTATCAGGAAAACAAAGCAAACCGCTCCTGAGAACCGGACGGGTAACTCGGCAGTGCTGGCTTTCACCGCAAGATGGCGCTCAAGGCTCGCTCTGGGTTTCCAGCTGCAGGGAATTCGTTGGTCTTAGACCAAATAAACCCCGGGCTTTTGTGCCCTGTTACGGGGCTGTGTTCCAGTACATCTTGAGCGAGTATGAACACGCATTCCTATGGGTCAGGGAGCTCCTACGTTGGGGATTTAGGCGGCCGTGTTGGAGCAGCGGCATATAATACGGGGGCAACGCTGAGCCACTGGAGGTGAGTGACTGAGCCGGGCTAGGTTAGGGTGACCGTCAACCTCTCGTCCACTGCTTGCAGGTGTTTGTCAGCAAAGATGTGGCCAAGCACCTGGGGTTCCGGTCAGCGGGGGAGGCCCTGAGGGGCCTGTACGGGCGTGTGAGGAAAGGGTGAGTAGGGGGAAGCCAGGAAGGGGCCCCAGGTGTGCAGAGTGAGGGAGTCTGGCCCCGGGCTGGGGGCGGCACCGCCCTGAGGAGGGACTCGAGGCTGGGCCCCAGGGCTGGGCCGCGCACCCAGCTGAGTGGAGGGTCTTGCAGGGCAGTGCTTGTTTGCGCCTGGGCTGAGGAGGGCGCCGATGCCCTGGGCCCCGATGGACGGCTGCTGCACTCGGACGCCTTCCCTCCGCCCCGGGTGGTGGATACTCTGGGGGCGGGAGACACCTTCAACGCCGCAGTCATTTTCAGCCTGTCCCAGGGTGAGTACGCGCAGGAGGCACCGGGTGAGGCCCGCCCCCTGCCCAGAGGACCAGGCTGAGCCCGCCCTCTGTCCCTCCAGGGCACAGTATGCAGGAGGCGCTGAGGTTCGGCTGCCAGGTGGCGGGCAAGAAGTGCGGCCTGCAGGGCTTTGACGGCATCGTGTGACCGCCCTGGGGCGGGGTGCCCTGGCTCAGAGCACCCCCTCCCTGGAGGCTGGCGCCTTCCCAGCCACCACTGCCTTCTTCCCCACTCCAGGCAGCCCGGCATCTGCGCTGCACGCCCCCTGGGCACATGCAGGCTAGGGGTGCAGCGCGGGGGCGGGGAGGGGTGTGCTCCGCCTGTGTCCTGGTGTCTCCCCTGAGCCACAGAGCAAATAAACCTCCCGCCCCAGGGCCCTCTTCCTTCGGCCAGTCTGTCTGTCCTTGATGTCTAAACTGCTTGGCTGGGGATGCCAGACGCTTCGATGCTACCGCCTTCACCCTCTTCTTCTCTGTTCCTCCAGTGAAGCTCCCTGCAGAGGCCCAGAGCGGGGTGGCCCGCTCTAGAGCAGCAGGAAGCACCCCCCTCCCGCCGACTCGCCACCAGCCACGCCCTCGGTGGAGACCCAGCCAGTTCTGGGGAAGAGGAGCCACAGGGGATGGGTAGAGACCCTGGGCCTTCCTGGCTGGGGAGGACACTTGTCTCCTTGTACCCAGGGACCGTTCCAAATTAACAAGCCATGAGAGAATCTCCTCTGGATCCCTGGGCTGTGACTCCGAGACTGTCCCCATGGCTGAGCCAACCTGACAGGCCAGTGGGCAGGGAGCCTACTCTGTGGTTTGGTGGCGGCTTCATGGTCCAAAAATATCTCCACTGTGACTGTCCCGGAGCCTGAAGCCCCACCCTTGGGGCCACCTTGTCCTTAAGGCAGTGCCTCATCCACGGATGTACCCCTGGGACCCAGACCAGGCCTGAGGGCATATTGGGAATGAGCCAGGTTTCCTAAGGGAGTTGGGGCAGGGTGAGGCCCCAGACTGTGCTAAAGACCATGGGCTTTGCAGTCTGACACACCTGAATTCAAATCTGCCACTTAATTTGTGCTGTCTCCTTGGGTATGTTACTGACTCAGTCTTCCTCAATTTTCCTCATCTGCCAAATGGAGCTAATTCTGCATGCTCATAGAATTCTTGTGAGGATATAATCAATGTAGAAAATGCCCGGCATGATGCCTGAAGTGTACTGGGCTCTCAGTAAGTGGTAGATCTTGTTGATACTCTGGGGAGGGCTCCTACAGGGTGGTGGGGAGGACCGGCGTGGGGCTGCAGGAGGGTCTGGGGTGTCTGAACCACAGAGGAAGGGGAAGAGGAGTCTTTGGGCCCCAGGGAGAGGCAGTGCCCTTTCCCCCGGCCTGTCTGCAGCCGGCTGGGCCCTCCTGCTGCATCTCAGCACCCTTTGGGACCACTGGGGAAGCCGAAGCCCCTCCCTGAGGCCAGGCCAGCCACACCAGGAAGTAGATGGCCCAAGCACATAAGTTCATCAGTTCTTTATTGGTTGTCTGGGCCCTAAAGCTGCCGCCCTCAACTTCAGGTCTCCCTGAGCTGCCCCTCTGGGGGCCAGGAAGCGGACAAAGAGGCAGTCCTGGTCCCAGCCTACACGCCCCACTCTTCGGGGCTCATGTTCTGGTACTGAGACTTCTGCGGGTGCAGATCTCTTTCGTCAAGGTTCATATCTCATCATTCTCCAGTTGAATAACATGAACTTCAAACTCATTTGGGGTGTTCTTAGACTCCAGTGTTTCCCCTGCATCCTCTGCATCCTTTACAGTGTCCCTGGCCTCTGCCTGTCCTGTAGCCTCTGTTGCAGGGCCTGGGACTTCTCTTTCAGCCTCTGCCTGTCCCCCAGCCTCCTGCACAGGCTCTGAGGACTCCCTTCTGGCCTCTACCTGTCCCCCATCTTCTCTGGGACCCAAGGCTCCCTGCAGCTCTTGTCCTGGCACGCTGTTAGCTAATGGGGGCTGCCTCCCAATGTCTTGTGGCTCTGGGGGCTCTTCGGGCTCTGTGTGCCTTGGGGCCTCTCCTGGGAAGTTGATGAGCTCTGCAGGGGACATGAGCCCATCCCCGTTCAGGTCCTGGGTCTCGAGCACCTTGTCCACTACCAGGATCACCTGTGGAAGCACACAGTTGCCGTACAGGCTACACTGAACAGACATGTTCCCAGGAGCCCTGACCCTCCCCACACCTCCCCACCTCCCTGCCAGGCAGGCTCAGAGCACTTCTTTCCTAGTGGATTCCCCAAAATAGTCATGATGAAAAAGACTGAAGCCCCAAGCAGCTGAGTCTCCTTCGTGGGAGAAGCCCTCCTCCCCCACCAGCCAGCAGGGCTTACCGGGTTGGCGATGGGAAAATCAGCAGCTCCAGGTGCCAGAGCTGCGGTCAACATGGACAACAGCTCCAGGCCATCCAGCTGTCCACTCTGGTCATAGTCGTGGAGGGCAAAGAGGTAGAGGAGAACTAAGGATGAGAAGCCGGATCAGAAGAGACATCAGGAACAGGCAGGGGGTGACCTATGGCCCAGGGTCAGTCTTGGGTGTGCTGCCCCGGAGCCCCTGCCCGCTGGCCCCAGTGCCCAACCCCTCACCCTGCTCCCGGGTCATGTGTTCGGGCTCCTTTTCCATCCTCTCCAGTCCCTGTAGGTAGTTCTGCAGAAGCCTGCCAGAAACGGGGAAAGTCAGCCCCAGAGGCCAGTGTGCAGACCCAGGCCTACCCCCACCCCGCAGCCCAGCCCACTCACCGAAGCTGCTCCTGGCCTGGCTGGAAGGGGTTGGACAGGGGCTGCTGCTGCACCTCAGGGTCCAGCCTGGAGGAGAGAGAGAAGGGCCAGGCTTGCAAAGAGCCTCCCTGAGGATCCGGCCTACCAGCCACCCACCCTCAAGCTCCCGGCAGAGTTCTCTCCCCAGACCCAAAGGGCGTTGTTCTCTCAAATTCTGCAAAAACCTTGTGGGGTGGAGGCCCTTCTGGTCTCAGAAGCAGAACCTCACTCCCTCGGACTGTTTTTACAGATTCCTAACTTAGACGTTAAGGGAAAACCCAAATAAAGTGTCTGATTAGAGGCCAGATGAGGACACACCTAGTAGATACAAGTTGGAGACCCAAGAAAACAGTGAGTGGGTGTCCGGATAGCAGGGATCGCGGTCACCCTTCAGCTCTGGGGCCCGGGCCAAGGGGCAAGCCTCTGACTCGCCCGGAGGCACTGCCCTGGTTTCCACAGACCGGATCTGCTCCACGACACATGCTGAGGGCATGCATGATGGTTGTGGAGTTTCCATCTGCTCAGGCTCTCTTTCTCAGTCCTTAAAGCCCAAGGTTTGCTCCCAGTTCTGGACGGGGCTGCTGGTTGACCCAAATCAGTCCAGACCTGCGAAGCTAGATTGCAGGAGCCGCTGCGGCAGCCTCTGTCCCTGCTGCCAGCCTTGCTGCTCTGTCTCTGTCCACACACATACCCAGTGTGGTCTTCACACCGGAGCCTTGAGGCAGATGAGCACACAAAACAGAAAAGATCTGCTAATGATCTCGAAGGCTCTGGTATTCTCACAGAAGGTCTGGAGAAGAGGAGCACAGCCCCTTCCTGGGCCACAGCTGCTTCCCCAAGCCTCATACCCTGTCGGAACTGAAGCCCCAGATCCCAGACGACCCACAGCTCCTTCCCCAAGCCTCACACCCCCTCAGAACTGAGGCCCGGGATCCCAGAGGAACTGATCCCAGCAAAGATGTCCCGTTGCCCGCTCTGCGAAGGGCACTCCTATAGGCAGAGGTGGCAGAGGTCAGGGGAAGATGGGGGATACAGAGCTCCAGGAGCATACACCCCAGGCTCCTGCTTCCCAGAGGGGCCCACCGCACCCTCAGACTCTCCAGACTCCCTATATCCCAGCCTATGGCCCTGCCTTCTGGAGCCCATTACCTCACAGTTCCGTCCTTGGGAGCAGCCTGACTCAGGGGCAGCAGCAGCACTAACATTCTCGTTGCCAAAGGTAACAACATCCTTGCCGGAACTGGAACTAGGAACAGAGTTAGGGAGTCAAGGGGAAGGGATGTCTGCCACAGAGTGAGGGGACAGGAGGGTTAGACAGGAGCTGCTTCTTTCCCTGCCTCCACCCACAGCCAGGTGACAGGACTCCTTCCTGCTCAGGGAGGAGGCCCACACAGACATCAGCCATCCCCTGTGGAATCTGCTGGAAACAAATCTTACTCCGGACCCAGTGTGTAAAGCACAGAAAGCAGATCCACTGTGGCAGAAGCAGCTCTGGGGGCAGGAGTCCCTCCCCACACCCATCCCCAACTCTGTGGTGCCCCGCCCATCCCCCAACCCCATCCTCCCACTCACCCCCCAGACGGAGGTGCTCAGAGAAGTACAATTTAAGTACATCTACCCCAGTCCAGTTCCTCACTTTGCAAATGGAAACTAGCTCAGAGACATTAAGAAAAAGGCCAGATCAGAAATGCAGAGTGTCACAAAAAGACCAAGACTTATGCAGAGGCAGATTATTAGCCTGTATTTATTAAAACTCACCCAAGAACAAATCAGTAAAGGCTCAGACTCCTTGAAACAGATCTAAACTCAGGTAAGGGTTGAAACAAATCAGAGTCAAGCCAACAGTGGCCCCAGGACCTATTCTTTTCTCTTAGGAAATCCCAATAGAAAAGAAAAAACAAAAGCTTCCCCTTAGACCTTCACTGTGCGGGCCCAATGGCAACACAAGCTCTTGGTTATATGAAAAGAGTTAAAGAGAGAAAGGATCAGTCAGAAGCACAGAGCATGAAGCTTACTGACTAGTCCCAGGTAGGTGTACAGATCCTACCAATTCCCAAGGAAGCACACACCCGCCATAGCTGAGGCCTGAGACCCCACCCCCATCTCTAGGAAGACAAATCCTCAGGTGCAGAGGATCAGGAACCACTGTCAGGGTCCCTGACATTCTGGCTGGCACAGAATTCTCCCGGGGAAAGTCTGTCGGTTTCATCAGATTCTCAAAGAGCTCCGTAGCCCTAACAAGGTGCAGAAGCAGGGGAAGGCTGGATTCCAGTGCCGGGACACAGCTTTGCCCATGGGAAGATGCATGTGGGAAGCTGCCTGTAGCTATGCAGAGCTGCCTTGAGGAAGAAACAACCAAACACGGAAGTCTACAAGAAGGTCAATCTACCAAGAGGCACAGAAACTGTCTTTAGTTTTCTCTGCATATTTTCTCTGCATATACATAATCCACAGCGGCCAAATGGGTGCTGAAACCACAGTTCCCTAAAGGTGTTCACGAACATTGGCTGCAAAACAGATCTTTGAGCTCCAGTTGTCACACCCAAGAGAGAAAACAAGTCATGGGCCCATCCGAGGGAGGGAGCTGGAACTGAGATCTCTGTATCATCAGCTGGGGGCCCTCAGGGTTAGGGTTAGGTTAATCCAAACCCCAGCTTTAGATTTTCTAAAATAAAAACTGCCATGGTGCCTGAGTGGCTTAGTTGGTTAGGTCTCTGCCTTTGGCTTGGGTCGTGATCCGGGAATCCTGGAATCGAGTCCCATAATAGGCTTCCCCTGCTCTGCAGGGAGCCTGCAGGTTAGGTTAGGGTTAGACTAGGGTTAGGTTAACCCTAACCCCAACTGCCGTGGACACATCTCACTGAAAGGGTCATCTAGAAAAATATCCAAACCTCCATGTCTGGGAATATGATAGGAACTGTCCCAATGAACGTCATTCCAAAGCTGGCTAAAAATAGAAAGTATCTTTACAAATGCATTGAGTTGGCAAGAAAGTAAGAAATTCTGAGTCCAGTGAAACAGAAAGCACAGGGCAACAGTAATCCCGAGGGGGAATGAGCTTAAAGTAGGCTTTGGCTGTCAAACCAAACCTTGGTCAATTTGCACTATCAGTTGGAGTGGCTGATGCAGTAGTAGAGCTCAGAGATAAAGGTTGGACCCACCCAGTGGGAGGAGACTAATAGGAGATTCCCAACCTAGAGCTGGGATTCAAACAGCCCTACTCAATACATACTTTTTTGTGGACAAAAAGTAAATGTGCCACAAGAAGGGAGGTCAGCATAAATCTTGTCTGTCTTGACCCTGGTGCTGGGTGGAAGGGATAAAGTCTTCCCTGAGCATTTGTAACAAGCCTGCTCTAATGTGGGTCCAAGGCCTGAACTAAGCTACCACTGTGGTTCAAAAGCCAAAGCACATTGCTTGCATTTTAAGTGGTACCTGGTTGAGAGTACCTCCAGTCAACTAGTAAAGGAAAATACACATCTTGTCCGAGACACACAATTCCAATTCAGGCCCCAAAGAAATTCCATTGGTAAAGGGTCATGGAGCATGACCTCACAGCCAGAAAGTCATAAACACACAAGGAAATAAGACACTGTGAGTGAGAGCCAGCTAACCAATAGAGGGTGAAACCAGACTTGCAAAAGAAGGACACTGGAATTATCATACCAAGAACATGAAGTATATTTAATTTGTTTCAAGAAATTAAAGAGAAGCTTGAAACTATGGGAAAAGAGTATGAGCATAAAAATGACCAAGAAGATCTGAAGAAGAACCAAATATAACTTCCGCAAATATAATGAAAAGATTAATTTTAAAATGCAATGAGTAAGTTAGACGATGTGAGAATTAATGAACAAATTATCCAGGAGGTAGCTCATTGAGCCAAAGACAGAAAATATAAAACACAGGTTAAGTGGCATGGAAAATGAAGGAGAAATGGGACCGAAGCACTGTTCTACGATATAACAGCTGAGATTTCCCCCAATCTATTGCAAAAACACAATACTCGAATCCAGGAAGCCCAACAATCCAAGGAAAGCTAAATAAACAGGATACACACCCAGAGCTATTCTGAAAACTATATGATACCAAGAAAAAGAGAAGGTCTTAAAGGCAGTCAGAAGGAAAAAGACAAATCCCTAAAAGGACGATTAGACTGATAGTTGATTTCTCAACAGCAACAGTGATACCAGGTTACAGTAGTACAGTATTTTAACACATTGAGAAGGGGGAGTGTGGGGGGTGCGGGGGAGAACTGTCATTCTAGAATTCTCGTCTCAGCAAAATTATCTTCAAGAATGAGGTGAAACAAAAACAATTTTAATAAACAACAAATAAGAGAATTTGCCACCAACATTCCTCCATTAAAGGAAATTCTAAGGGATTTACTGCAGGAAAAAGGAAAATGATCCCAGAAGGGTTTGAAATGCAAGGAAAAATGGTGAGCAGAAAAAAATCAGAAACAAACATAGACTGATAATTACATTAATATAGGGAGCAAAAAAAGGTGAACTAAACTACAATATTGGACAACATTAAGATGTAAGGTGAGGGGGCGCCTGGGTGGCTCAGTGGGTTAAAGCCTCTGCCTTCAGCTCAGGTCATGGTCCCAGGGTCCTGGGATCAAGCCCGCATCTGCATCTGGCTCTCTGCTCAGCAGGGAGCCTGCATCCCCCTCTCCCTCTGCCTGCTTGTGATCTCTCTCTCTGTCAAATAAGTAAATTAAAAAAAAAAAAGATGTAAGGTGAGGATAGTTGTTTGGGAAGAGAGTAGACATATTGAGCAACTTTGTTAAATATTCACGGAAAGGTCTTAAGGAGAACCACTAAAAAAACAGAAATGGAAGAAATAGAATGTATGACCTCAAACCAGCAGAGAAAAAAATGAATGGAATTTTTATTAAAATAGCGTCATTTTTTAAGATTTTATTTATTTATTTGACAGAAAGAGAGACAACAAAGAGAGGGAACACAAGCAGGGGGAGTCGGAGAGGGAGAAGCAGGCTTCCTGTTGAACGGGGAGCCTGATGTAGGGCTCCATCCCAGGACCCCGGGATCATGACCTGAGCCAAAGGCAGATGCTTAATGACTGAGCCACCCAGGCTCCCCATGAATGGAATTAAAAAAAAAAAATCATTTCAAAGGAAGGCAGTAAAAAAGAATAGAGAAACTTAAAAAATGAAAAAGTATGGCAAAAAAATATATAAATTAAGATGGTAAAAATATATCTAAGTTTATCGGTGGTCATAACTATAAATTCTTTAAATTCATCAGTTAAGAAATATAAATTACCGGGGTGCCTGGGTGGCTCAGTGGGTTAAAGCCTCTGCCTTCGGCTCAGGTCATGATCCCAGGGTCCTGGGATCAAGCCCTGCATTGGGCTCTCTGCTCAGCGGGGTGCCTGCTTCTCACCCGCCGCCCCCCGCCCCCGCTTGCCTCTGCCTGCTTGTGATCTCTCTGTCAAATAAATAAATAAAATATTTTAAAAAAAGAAATAGAAATTACCAAAATGCATACAAAACAAGATAGAGTTATATGTAATTTTCAGGAGATTAACCTAAAAAGTAGAGACACAGGTTGAAAGCAAAAGGATGGGAGGAGGGTGCCTGGGTGGCTCAGTGGGTTGAGCTGCTCCCTTAGGCTGGGGCCCTGATCTCAGGGTCCTGGGATCAAGTCCCACGTCGGGCTTTCTGCTCAGAAGGGAGCCTGCTTCCCTCTCTCTCTCTGCCTGCCTCTCTGTCTACTTGTGATCTCTGTCAAGTAAATAAATAAAATCTTAAAAAAAAAAAAAAGGATGGGAGGATATATAAAACAATAAAAAAGCAATAATAGACAAAAGAAAGCTAGTGCAGCTTTATAGACATTAGACTAGACTTTAAGATGAAAGGCATTATCATAGATAAAAGAATGTCATTACAAAATTCATAAAAATTTAATACCCTAGGAAGATACCATAGTTCTGAACTTGGTATATGTCTAATAACATAGCCTCAAAACATCTAAAATAAAAACTGCCATGGGCGCCTGAATGGCTCAGTTGGTTAGGCCACTGCCTTCGGCTCAGGTCGTGATTCCGGAGTCCTGGTATCGAGCCCCATAACAGGCTTTCCCTGCTCTGCAAGAGCCTGCTTCTGCTTCTCCCTCTGCTTCTTCCCCTGCTTGTGCTCTCTCTCTCTCTGTCAAATAAATAAATAAAATATTTTTTAAAAACTGCTATAACACTACACACCTATTAGAATGGCCAAAA